TTTACAAAGCGACACTTTAAAGTGAATAGAAAATAAACTTTTTTTTGGCTGTAACTTTTAAAAATGTCTTAAATAGCCAGCTCTCAATAATCTTCTTCGTCCTCCTCCTCCTCATCTTCGTCCTCTCCATCACTGTCGTCCAAGAGGTGTGACTGGACAGCCAGTCGCTGAGCCACAGCTGCAACCATGGCAGCACCTTTTCCACTTCCGTCCTCTGAGACAAGAAAGCTGATTTCACATTTGGGGGCTAGGAGGCGCACTGCTGCCTGGAGCTCATCACTGAAACTGAAAACAAATAGATACAGATTTTAAGAGACTCAAAAGTATTTTAGACTGTAACATATGAACTGTTTTTGTTTAGAGACATTTTGGTTTGCACTCCCTTCCTCTGGGGTCCATTAAAAAAAAATAAAACATTGAATTTCACTGTTTAAAGGTCAACATCAAGTTCTATCTCCCAGTAAAAGATCACAACAGTCATTAAGTTGATAAAATGAGCTGTTTAAGAAACGGCAAAACATTATTGAAAGTGACATTTCTGTGACAAACTGAAGAACCCCCTAGTGGCGAGAGGGATATTTAAAAAAAAAAAAGTATTAAAAACACTTTGCACTATTTAAACATTTCTTATGAATATTTTGAGAAATTATTTTGATTTTTTTGGTTTTTCTATTACGTGTATTTGGATTTTAATTTAATTATTTTGAGGCCTAATCAACACAAGTTCATGGAAGTTAAATTGTCATGGCAACGTCAAGCAAGCTAGAGCGGGGTATGCGCGTACGGCAGCAGATTAGTAAATTTACATAGTTTATCTCCACAAGTCAGAGCGCACCTGAAAATTTGAACCCCTGTAACCAGGCGGGGCACCCTGCCTGTAGCTCAAAGTAAGAGCATGGTCCGTCAGCGCATTTTAATATCTGTTCATGCAGTCTAACGTTACATAGTATTTTAGAGTGTTATTTTGATCTTGGGTTCTTTGTGTAATGGTATAATAAAATAATAATTTCCTTATGATTTGTGTAAAAGGATTTTGGAGCTAATAGTCACGTGTGAGATAAACACAGTGACTCAGGTTCATGCAAGCTGACCAAATCTACATTGTTATAGTGTTATTGTGAAGTTTAATTAATAGTGCATATATTCACCTGAGAACTGATGATGTCTGTGTTTCACAGAACCTGGTTGCCTGCACTGAAGTGTATATGACAATAAAAAAGTGAATCTCAATCCATTTACTTATTTTGTTTGATTGTATTATAAAAAGGCCTCCAGGCTATTAGGTTTTTTTTTGGACTAAAGACCAATGAGCCTATTTTGTATTTTAAATAGGCCTATAGGCTCATAGGACTTTTGTCCATTAAAAACAAAAAAAATGTTCACAGCACACCCAGTTATGTTACAACCCTATTATGTATTCACTACACATGTTGCGAGTTTCTTCTGGAATGACATCAGATTTTACTTAAAAGGGATATTGTATAACAGTTTTCGTAAGCGAAGAACTGGTTTGTAGTCTCCTGTTATATGTTCACTCATAGGCAGGACTAAAGTCGTGCAGCCTGATTGATTGATTGGTTGACTGACTGACTGACTGATATGTCTGCAGAGAACGTAGACTTTCCCCTCCTTTGGCAGGTAGTCAATGGGTAAATAGTCATTAGTTTCTCTATGCATCCCATTTTCCCTTCTGTTTTTTTTTTATTTATTTATTTTTTAATCAAAATATGGAAGTTCTAAGAAAAAAATAAGTCAAAACTCTGACTTGAAGAGTGGTTACTTTTCTCACTAGCACCGACCCTAAAAACCAGTATGGTTGCCACATGTATAAAACGGTAACAGATTAAGAGAAAATATTAGCATTTTACAGTCTTAGCTAGAAGAAATGGTGCCACAGTATTGCAACAAAATAAAAATCTAAAAAGTGATAAAAAAAAATAACTTATTATTATTAAGTATGTCATCTTTTCTCTTACTTGGGATGTTTTCTATACACTGTCCCATCCACTCCTACGGTGGTCTTCAGGTGGTCTAGCCCTCGGTTGACACGAATACGGTTGGCGATTGTTGCCAAACCAGCAGCACAGAGACGAGCAGAGCGTGAGGAGATGGTGTCACAGACAAGTCGCACAACGCAGGCATCAACCAAATCCCACTTTAAATCCAGTTTGGTCAGAATCTTTTGGACATTTTCCAGACCTCTGTCAGGCCTGAACAAACGGGAAAAAACCACTCCATAGATGTTAATAAAAGTTTAGATGTGATCTTATTAAAAAAGAATCTAGAAAAAGAAAAGGACACTTACTCTTCAATTTCAGAAATGAACTTTGTCTCAAACCTCCCTGGATTAAGCAGTGCCTCAGATGCCCCCCCTTTAAACAACAGCTTCTCCTCTGTTAGCTTCACTAGAACCAGCCGAACCA